GATCCTGCAGGCAAGGGTATTTTAGAAAAAATAAAGAAATTTATAAAAATGTATGCAGTTGAAAACTCATTAAAGGGTTCAAACTAAAAATTTCCAGAACCTTAAACAAAAAAACAATTGACAATGATTACCCATCATATTAAAGCATTATAATACAGATGGCACCTAGAGGTTGATGATGTTCAAGTCTATATAAAAAATTCAACTAGAGGTAAGGTCCTAAAAAAAAATTGAAGGGGGGTGTTTTAGCCGGCAGGCAAATTAATTTTAGAATACAAAAAAAAAAATTAGAAAATGTTATACAGTATAAACACTCATTAAAGAGTTTAAACTAAAAATTTCCAGAATCGTATTCAATTCTATATAAAAAACTCAACTAGATTTAAAATCCTAAAAAAAAATTGAATGGTAGTGTTGGTGCCCGCAGGCAAATGCATTTTAGAAAACTAAAAAAATATTTTAGAAAAAATTCTGCAATAGTAATACGTCATATTAAAGAGTTCTAACTTCAATATCCAGATTTTTAAAGAGGAAAAAACAATTCATAATGATTAACTAGCTCATTAAAGATTTATAATACATAAAGTATTAGGTTATCAGTGTTTCAAAATACTCAACAAAATATTCAAAAATAAAAAAAATTGACTGGGGGTGTTGGAGCGAAAAAAATTTAGAAAAATGTTTCAGAAATAAACACCCATTAATGAGTTCAAACTAAAATTTCCAGAATTTTAAACAAAACAAAATATTCGAAATAATTAGTTTATTAAGGCCCGGTTTTTCAATTGACTTTAACTGGCAGTTAGTAGAATTTAACTGCCGGTTAATACGTTGTCCCAGTTAAACTGTTTTTGGAACTCCAGTTAAGTTAACCATCAGGTTTAACTGATAGTTAAACTAACCACTACTATTTCTTCCGATTAACTTTTTAACTGTTAGTTAATTTAATAATTATCATTGATTGTGATAATTTTCATTTTCGCAAGTACACTTTAATACGTTTCACATTCACTTCTATTTTTTCTTTATAATTTGAATTCAGATACTAACTTACAAGTTACAACTATGAATTTCGAAAATGAAATACTTTTTTATGACGATGACGTTGAATTTCAAGAATATTTAAATTATCAACGTATACCGTATACTGTACGAACTAGGGTTGATCATTTTAGGACTTGGGATGAACTAGATTTTAAAAATCGCTTTAGATTATCTAAAGAAACTGTTATGATGATATTAAATATGATTGGCCCTTCAATATCCTCAAATACATTATACAGACAGGTAATGTACATAGTAGTATTTACATTATTCAAAAATTAATCCAAATAAAATACTCAGTGACTTTTTTTTTAATGTACAGAAATAATGATATAACACATGAACAAAAATTATTATTAGCTCTGAGATTTTATGCTACGGCATCTTTTTTAATTAGTGCTGGAGATGTCATGGGTGTAAGTAAATCTGCTGCATGTGTTATCGTACATGATGTATGTGTAGCCTTCTCAAAACTTCGTCCTCAAATAGTTAAAATGCCAGAAACAAATGACGAAATAAAAGAGCTGCATAAACAATTGTATGGTTCAGCCAAATTTCCGTTGGTTATTGGGGCCATTGACTGTACTCATTAAAATTAAAAGCCCTGGTGAGTTAAATAATAAAATAAATTAAATAATAAAATCTCATATGTCAATTACTAGCACTTACGAGTTACGGACACATTCAATTTTTTTTTTATAATTATGCTCGTTAACTCGTTTATACTATTGATAATAGACAGATGTATTAAGATAATACACTTTTTGCAGTATGACCACTCGCAAGATATATTGATTTTACGATTAACCTCTAGTTAACTAACTGGCACATTAATTTGGCTTGATAAACAGTGCACTTTTTAACCGGCGTTTTAACTGATGGTTTAAATTAACTGAAAGTTAACTAACTGGCAGTTACTATAACAATTGAAAAACCGGCCCTAAAGAGAGTATATTCGTATTGCACCTGGGAGTTATTAATATTCAAGTATATATACAATATATTCAACTAGAGTTAAATTCCTAAAAAAAAAATTTGAATGGAAGTCTTGGTGCCCGCAGGCAAATGCATTTTAGAAAACTAGAAAAAATTATACAGTAGGAACACACATTAAAGAGTTCAAACTAAAATGTCTAGAATCTTAAACAGAAAACACAATTGACAATGGTTAGCCCATTAAAGCATGATAATAAATAAATAAATAAAAAAGAAATATATTGAATGGTGATCGTGAGAGAACCTAACCATCTACTTTTATATTGTCAATATACAGGTACCCAGTGTAGTCACTGGTATAGGGTTAATGTTTAAAAAGTTTTGTACAAAAAAATCTACTAGAGTAAAATGAATCGAAAAAAAATTTTAGGAGGAACCTTGGTAAATTAACACTTAACAAAAGAATACGCTGGAAGCTACATTTTAACTACAACCCAAAAACTAGGTATTGCTTACATTATAATAAACGAACAGTTATTATGATCAGAAGTGTATCACTGTAATATATCATATATGTATTAGAAAATGTATAAAAATGAATGTAATTTATTAAGGATGCAAAATTATTTATCTTTTTTTTATTGTGTTTGAGCGAAACCCGTCAATCATATTTATAAAAAGTAAATTATTTCTTCATTTGGTTGAGTATTTGTATGTATATAAATTAAATATCGGACAAGTAGTTTTTTGCTAAGTACCTATTTAAATTTTAAAGTTTATATGAGCAGAGTAGTAGAATAACATTTTTGCATGGTTCATTGCAATTAGAATGTAGATATTAGTTAAATCAACCCCCCAAATGAAACTATAACATGTTAAATAACTGTACTTAAAACAGAAATTATGGAGCTAAAATTATAGAAATATCTTGTAAATATCTATACGTACAGCGAGACATGGGACACAGTAAGATACAGTCCATAGTTCATAGTTTTGTTTCATTTATAATAATAATGCTTTATAATGTAGATTTTCATCAATTAATATTTAATAAAGTTTGCTTGACGATTTATTTGAAGTTTTTGTATGTATTTTTGGGAGATCAGTATTATTGCAACACTGTTGTCCGTTACCAATACGAGTCTCACTGCACCCCAGTTTCGCCTATACAGCTGATAAATCATTACTTATTACCAGGGCTGTGAATTAAATGCATTTGCATATTTGTTTGATACACAGTACAAAAACTATACGATAATGGATACGACCAAAATTTGTTTTGATTTATTTATAGTTTAAATACGAAATCTTATTTAGCATAGGTTTAACCTATTAAATTATAATTTAATGGGTTATAGGTAAGTAATTAAATGTTTTCTTGGTCACCTAGCTAGTATGTAAATTAAACAATTATTTTTTTTTTACAAATACAAAATCCCACGTCTATATTTTGGGTTAAGGCATTATTATAATTGCAAGTTTTTATGATGTTTTTTATTAATGATTATTTTCTTAAAAAAGAATTGTATTTATCGGTAAATCAGGTCGAAATTGACTATAATATACATTCATAATTTTTTACAAATTAGAAAAATAATGATACTTAGCTAGTATGTGAATAAAGAATTGTTTTTTTGTAAAAAATTTATAATTTGAATTTATTAATTTCAATAGTTTTTTAATAATGGATTTTTTATAGAGCATTTTACCGAATAGTTTTAGTGCATATTTAAAATTTTTTTAGTGCATTCAATTCACAGCCCTGCTTATTACTTTAACTTCCAATCATATCGCTACCACAGTTAATGTTAAATATCAACAATTAAAAGCTTCTTAAGGTGGGTTCACACTACACCGTGTTGTGTAAAATAATCACGGTTACCACAGTTACCAAACGATAGCGCATAATAGTTGTATAAATTCATCAATGTGGTATTCTTTGGTAACTATGGTAACCGTGATTATCTTACATGACAAGGTGTAGTGTGAACCAACCTTTAAACTTAATAACACTTAAAAGGATGTCATATTTACATAATACAAATAATTGAAAAGTTTCGGGTAATACATACCCTGATCGATTAACTAAAGGAAAAAGAAACCTACTGAAAAATAAGAAAATACATACCCCGTGTCCGAATCAAAATCTGCTATAAAACTTAGTCTTCGAAACACTGCAACGTTCACACATTTCAGTCTGCTTATGATATATTATTCCCAGTTGACAAATCTTCACTGACGAATTAAATACCATTTCTGAAATAACACGCAGCTTGCAGTAAAATGTTCAACAATATTCTTATGACCTAAGCGTTACAGATATCATATTTCATATGTATAATGTTTAATCTGTATTATACCTACTTCAAGGGTTATAACTGTTCTATTTGAAAGATTTGAAGCAATATTAGAAACATTAAAAAGATTAGTATATGACAATGATAGAGTAACTTCATCGGGTGCTAAAAGTCTTTTAACAGTAATCACATTTGAATTTATACTCACAATGATCTTAAATAGGTAAAAATATATTTGCAATAACCACACTTTTATCCAATTACTTACAAAGTAAATCCATAGATTTTATTCAGGCATTAAATTTGATTGATGCATCAAAAGAAAAATTAACTTCTATGCGCTGTGATGCAGAATTTGAACTAACGGTAAATGAAGCAAAACGTTTTGCTGAAAAACACAACATGTCAGAGTTAAATTTTAAAGAAACTAGACCAAGAAAAAAAAAAGGATGCCTGGTGAAAATATTTATGATGAAGTATCTGTTTCTGCATGTGATAGATATAGAACAAATACATACTTTAAAGTATTGGATCAAATAATTTCATCAATTAATTCTAGATTTAGTGGTGCCAGAGAAATACTTAAAGATTTATCTCTTTTGTCTCCTGAACGACTGGTGAATATGAAAAAAAGACAATAAATCTATTCCAGAAGATAGTTTCCATAATATATCAAATTGGTTAAAAGATATTAACGGAAATGATTTGAAACGTGAATACATTATGTTTAGTCATAGTTTAAGAGATCTCGTTTCAGGATTAGAAACACCATTATTGTTACACAAGCCAGATGGCCCAGATGATACATATGATACGGATTCAAGTGACAATACTAACACTGATGATGAGAACAACACAGGTCTAGCAAATCCGGAAACCAAAATTACAATCAATACAATTTTGCATGTACTATCTAACTATAATTTGATGTCGGCTTTCCCAAACTTATACTTGGCCTATAAAGCGCTTGGGACTATACCTGCTACTTCGGCGTCAGCAGAACGTACCTTTTCTAAGGTATATTTCGGAGCTTACAAAATATTATATAGATTTATTTATTAATTAATTTTTATTTATAATTTAGGTGAAGTTAATCAAAACCAGATTAAGATCCTCTATTTACCAAAATAGACTGGAAAGTTTGATGTTAATCAGTTGTGAGAAAGACATACAAATTAACTATAATGAAGTTATTGACACATTTGGATTATCATCACAGGTTTTAAAGGATGCATTGATGTTCAAATAAATAAAATAAAATGATTTTGACAGTTGAAGTTGTTTTAATTAATTTAATTTTAGCAAATGTTTAAAATATATTCTAAAAAAACTGATTTAAAGAGGTTAGTTAGAAGTTAATCAAATATCCAAATAATTTATCAATATTAAATAAATAAATAATGTACCTACCTAGATTTATAAATACAATAAATATTTAAAAATAAAAATAAAAACTCATTGTCTGCAGTTATTAAAATTAATTCAATACATTTGATTATTCCAGATTATTATTTATATATTAATAATAGTAGTTGTTATTCTAAAAATATTAACCACAAAGCCACAAAACCACAAAGTTTTTATTATTTTAATAATCCCAGTTGGTTATTGTAATGTATATTATATACTGAATAGCTGTTAACTATAAAAAATGATAGTGGAATCTGAATTACAATTTTTTTTTTTTATAAATATTAAAAAAAATTGTGTTTTCATATAATTGTATGGGGGCCCTTAATAAAACATATATTATTTGCAACTTTTAGTTTTGGGTGGGTGGTGGGTGTAAAAAAATTAACTTTGCCCCACATGAAAAAAGGGATCTGCACGCCACTGCCTACTTAACTATTATGTGTTAGTTTGTTTTTTAGAGCGGACTACGGGAACAATGATTTTACAATGATGTGTAGGTATATTATATGATTCTCGTAAAACCATTTTCTTATTTTGTTGTTATTCAACCACTATTAACCGTCGATATTTAAAAATTAAAATGCCCATCGCATGTTTAAACTATCATTTTCTATACATTATAAAATGTTCAAAATATTTCTACTCGTTTTCAGTGATTTGTAGACATTTGAGTTATGAAATGTTTTTAGTTCTGTATTCTATACCTAAATGTTAATAAAATGTTATTCGTTGGGTCAAAAAGCTTAAAAATAATACAAAGTTCCTCGTAAGTTGATATAATAGAAGTTAAAAAATATCAGAAACACATAAGAACGTTTTGTTTTATAGGCATTTAAAGTTCAAATTTCTTCAAAATTTTTCACAATCTTGACAATTTGCTAAATATTTTGTTGTAAGATATTCATACAAAAACTTTTTTGTTTACCTATAATATGAAAATGTAATAAAAGTTTCCTCATAAGTATTTATTATAGCAGTTGAGAATCAATAAAGATCCATAGGCACGATTTTTTTTATAAGTAGGTAATTAAAGTTCAACTTTTAACAAAATTTATCAAATTGATAATTTACAAATTACTATTTTGTAAATAAAAATTTATAAAATGTTCAACTTTCATTGCTAAGGATTGAAAATTTAAAACAAGAATTCTCATAAATAGTTCATACTGTAACAAAAAATCTAAATAATCAATTAAAAACATAGTAAAATTTTACGGACATTATAAGTTCAATTTTTGAAGAAATTACTTATTAAAACAATGAATAGCGATTTTCGATATTTTGTTGCAATTTAAAAATAGTAGGTATTCGTTTATTTATGAAACTTTTAGAGTACCTATATCATTATAATTTATATACCTACACGATGACACTTTCAAATGTAATTGTTTGGGCAAAAATTGCTTTAACCTACTGTTGTACTAATGCCTAACGGTAAAATAAATTACTTTAATCACAATATTATTTATTACTGTTTATTCGTTTGTATTTTAATAATTTATAAATAAATTTATTATTATTACTAATAATATTGGTTTATTTTATTTCATCAATTTATTTAATACTATATACCAATAAATTATATATTAATTAATAATTTTTGAAACATAGTATTAGAGAAAATAAAATAAATGGGATTTTAATTAGTTTTGTAATGTACCCACCTATATGTAAAAAATAAATTAATATAATAATAACTGTAGTAATTTTAGGGACATAATAGGTAACGTATTCGTGTATGTAGGTATTACACAATATTTATATATATATACGAGTATATACTGGAGGAAACGCAGTTCACCATTCGTGAACATTACTTTTATTTAAAAGTGTACATGGTTATACGTCCCTAACCAATATGATATAGATATTATTTGAGCAATAAAAGTTAAGTATGTAAGTATGTTACACTAAGTTAAGAGTTATCCATGACTGGATATGAAAAAAAAAATGACCAGTTATAAATTAAAATTGTATCTTATGACTATTATCAGTTAAAACATATATTTCTATAAATTAATCCAAAACATGTGTGTCTACTCCAAGTACCCAATTTAGGTATTCACCTATTACCTATTAAATACCTACAAGTATTCTACGAGCGGGGACTGGAAAAACGACGGCGACGTTTGTATCTCGAGTATTTTATACATTTATAGTTAGGAACTAAAATATGTGTCTACAACACTTGGAAAACACATTTTTCATGACATTAAGTATTTATTTTAATTCTTAAAAGTAAATTTCAGACCCAAAAGAATATGAAAACAAATTTACTTTAAATATCGACTATGTCGGCGAAATCCGTGACGAGTGTTCACTGCGAGGCCGACGAAGTAACACGCTCCAGAATACAGAACTTAAAATATTGTGATTTATGAAAAATAAAATTATACGGAAAGCAGTAAGTTTTTTGTTCATATCCGCTTTGCTTATTGAAATTTTAGAATTTTTAATCGACTGTGTCTTCTGCAATGACTGAGTTTTGCCATGGAATATAAATTATAGATATTATACTAGGTAGGTACGTCAATATGGTGAATCCACGGATATAATATATCTAATGAAATTTTTTATATCAAAGAGTTCCGTGTTAAGGAACAATATTTGTTCATCGAATTTGATATGACAACAATCAAAATAGCTTATAATCGTATTATTATATACTTATATCTATGCTTATAATTTTGAATTTGAAGTATAATAATATGATATATTATTTAAATTATTATTTTCGTTTTTTAATTTAATAATTGATTAAGATGGTGAATAGATATCAGAAGTACAAGCATATTTTTATGAACACATATTGTACCCATTTTATGAATCGTTAAATGAAAATGTGATTACTGGATTTTAGAGTTAACATAAAGATATACAGTACCTACCTAAACCTAAGTACCTACCTACATAAAATTCACAGTATCTACCTACTATAATACCAACTAGATTTGTAAAATTCCAAGTCCAACCTAACCTACCTATAGTTTTGATTTTACTATGATCAGTATGATGTGTGTATTTAATTTCTTAATTTTTATTATAATTTTTTTCTTGTGTTTTGATTTGTACACGATAAGGAGTCGAAATAAACCTTCGTTTTCCATACATAATATATTATACTCTGTATGTAATCATATTGTTTACTTTTAAGTTCATTGAATTTAGTAGGTACCTAAATAATAATATCGTCAGCTCATACCTCGTTAGTAAAAAAAAGGTATTTTGGGATATATACATAAAAATATACAGAAAAAAATAAACACATAAATAATTGAAAATAATATTTGATAAACTGCACTTAAAAAGGTGTACTTAAGTAAACTAATAAAATATATGAGGTGGATAATGTATAAAAAATATAAAGACTAATAATATTTTATATTAAGTACCTAAGTACCTATATTGTTTTATACTTCGCGCAAGTTTATGGTGATATCCGCGTATAGTATACGCAATAACCAAAGGTATCTACGTATTAAACTTGGCGTGGAGAAACAAACAAAGACGGTCTTTGGACTGTGTCAGGGCCTAAAATTAAGGTATTTTGCTACTGCACTGCACCTAATTCCACACCAAAATATTTAAAAATAATTGCACATGCCACATATAACTTCATTGCATAATTTATTGTTTTTGCTATTTATTAATAATAAGTTATAATAAATACAATCTAAGACAATCTTATATAAAAGTCCTTGACACCTATAATATTTATAAGGCTATATGACTAAACATTTTAAAATTAAAAACGAAATAGCTTGGGTTAATATACCTACTTATTATATTATAAGCCGCCCAGAATATGGTGTAGGTAGGTAGTCGGTATTATTTATAGTGTTAATAAGGATTTTAAACGAATACAATCTGCTAATTAGTCATTTTCAATGTAAAAAGCCGGTTGGCGTTAATCTTATAATAAACAAAAAAATAAATACATAAAAAATATTGAATATGAATCAAATAAAAATTTAAAAATCCGAAAATAAGTACCGCACACATTAAAATTTGCCAATGCGCATATAATATTAGGTAGGTACTGCACACAATTTTAGGTCCTGGACGCTTTTGGGATTAAACGTAAAATTCTTCTACGTCACCCAGTTAACATATTGTCCATGGCAATAAATATTTAATTTAAGTCTAAATAGTAAATGTAAGCCCCAAAATAAAATGAAAACAAACTTACGAAAACTCTTCCGACGCCGAAGAAACAGCTATCATCCATATTATTCATCTCGCTCCGAACTGCTCCTTGAAAGTATCGAAATATACTATGAAAATAACCAGATCATAACGAATTGTACGAGTTTATGTTAAAACTTACATTATATAATTTATAGGCATACGGCTTAATGAACTCTCCATCAATATAGGCTTATTATTTTTTTATTCACTGAAATTATTAGAATTGTAAATCGTCGCCGACGAATGTCGACAATTGACGATTACCATAGATGATATAAAATATATTATTTACTATGATAAATCCATAGAACTTATGTATTATACTCAGTACCTATACGGCCTATTGATAAGTCGTATGTTCATTTGCAGAAATCTTTGTGATATGCAATGTACCTATTCTGGTTTTCTATTTCTGTTATAGTTCGCATGCCAAATTTAACTAAACTGGTCCGCAAGTTTATAGACATTCTAATATATTATTCTCCTGCCGGCTGCCAGTGCCCCTAGACACCGTGTTTGAGAAGTTATATTTTTTTGCCACCTAATTTCATTACAATATGAATTATTATTTATTATAACTTATAAGTTACCTATATATGCAGGTAGGTACTTGTCCAAAACTCGACTACAGGGATTTAAATAAAAAAA